AACTGCCTCGCACGGGTAAACTCAAACCATCTTTACCATATCATCGCTTGGCGCTCTGCAGCCAATAAAGTCCTAAAAGCTTAAAAGTCGAGTTTTTGTACAATTTTACAGGTGTAGCCGAAGGAAAAAAATAATCGTCTCTACGGCTTTTCTGTCCGGGCTCTCTTTTTTCTTCTTCTACCGAGCAATTGGGCGCCTCCGGCTCCTCTAAATTGCCGAAAACTGGACTTTTCTCTCGCAAAAAATTTGGAAGCTTTTTTTGGCTGTAGTTTTCCCGTCTCCCAGTAGACGGCACAACAGCTCAATCCTTGGGATGCAGAACAGCCCATCAGCTTTTCCCTTTTTTTTTTTTTTTTTTTCTTTAATTAAGCAGCCAGAGTTTTACCCAGCAATTCTGTTTTATTGTTATTATTATTTAATGCAACGAGAAGTATAGGAATATCAAAAGGCAAGAGAGAGGGCTTGGCATGGGCAGGGAGTACAGAAGTGCGGGGAGCAGATGGGCTAAAGGCGGGCAGAGAGCGTCGCGAAGCCTGGCGCGGAGCAGCGCTTCCAAATTAACCCAAATGAACTTGTAGCGCCTAAAACGTGAAAGAAAAAACCCCAACAACCCCGACACTATGGTGCTGCTGGGATCTGCGGGTATTTTGGGGATTTTAGGCTGAAATTGTCTGTTTGTAGTGTGAGATAGGAAGGGCAAGGCTCAGGTCGGCTCTGCGCTGCCTTGCCCGGGCTACCCCGAGGTGCCACCGCGGGGAGAACCTGGCAGCCGCCGCAACTTTTGTCCCTGAAAGGCTCCTTTTGTGTGCGGGTACCTTCACTCCCGCCGCCGGCACCGCTGTCACCGTTGAAGTCACAAAAAATCCCGGCCAGTAACTCATTTCCCAGATAATTTTATTTTTTATATATATATATATATATCGGTGTTTAGAAAGTTTTAAGACATGCGTAAATTTTATTGGGACTTATTTTATGAAGCCCTCAATTTAATTAATCAAAATCTCCCATCACTTCTGCAAACGTCAAGGCCGGCCGTAGGGGGGAGCGGGCAGTCCCCGTTCCCGGCTCCCCCGTTCCCCCGCGGCTCCCGGGGCCCGGGCTGTGCCGGCGGTGGGCGCAGGGCAGCCCCGGCTGTCCCCGGGCTGGCTCTCTGGACGGACCCGCCGCTCTTTTGTTTTTCTGTATCGGGAATTAGTAAACAACCCCCCTCCAAATCCTGGCGCTGCGCTTCATCTGCGCGCTTAAACCCCTCGCATTTAACCTCCTTTTATGATCACACGCACCCCACCCCCCACCCCGATCTGACCTTTAATGGGCTTTAAACAAGTTCGGGTTTCTCCCCCTCCCATCCTCCATCCCTCTTTCAACCGCTCCATCAAGCTCTGACTTTTCGGGTATCTCCGCACGTATCGCTCCCCCCCTTTCCTTATCTGAAGCATTCCTGGATTATCTCCCGGCCGCCTTTTCCAATGCTTTCTTCTGCGGTTTCTTGTTTGTTTGGCTCTTCTGGTTGTTCCTATTTCAGTTTTCAGATTTCAGTATTAATGGTGAAAGAGCACACTTGGATGCTAATTCTCCCCCATCTCCGTTCCCAGTCTCCCACCCCCCCAGCCCCCCCCAGTCCCTGCTAGGAAGGCGGCAGGGAAGCCTGCTAGAAACGATTTGATTGTTCCTAGGTATGACTAATTCTTTCCTTAAGCTGGGAAATTCAGCCTGATTAAAAGCCTCATTTATTATCCGATAAGCAAATGGACCCAGATTCCACCTCGTGGAGGAGGCTCCCTCGCTCCCCAGACGGCCTTTTTTTTTTTGCCTCAGCTCGGAGGGTCCCTTCCCCGCAGGCCCAGCCGGGGTCGGAGGGGGCCGCGCAGAGGGCGCGTAGCTCTCCGCGCTCCGCGGCGAGGCCGCTGCGAGGCCCGCTGCTCCCGCCAGACCCCTTCGCTCTTTCCTTAGTGCTTTTTCCTTTATCCCTATTCCCTCCCCTTTCCCCCCCCCCCCCAAGCCCCCCTCACTCTTTTGCGATGGACAAACGTAAATAGATTCCTCCAAAACAGCAAGTTTTTTTGGGAGAAAAAAAAATAAAACCAAACAAAAATAAAAGAGCAGCCTTGCCTAAAAAGGTGGCGGGGCGAGATGCTGAGCGGGTCCCGCTGCCGCTCAGCGCATCAGCCGCGGCAGGAGTTTACCGGGATAGCGCGGATCTGGCCGTTTACTTTTCCCCGTTTAATAGATGATTAATTGCTGTCCGGATTAGTCCCCCTCTCCCCCCCTCCCTTTTTTTTTTTTTTTTTTTTCTTTTAATTCTGGCCGGCCTCTCGCCAGCGGAGCGGCGGGCAGAGCAGTTCCTCGCAGCGAGCCCTAAGAGTAATAACTGTTTGCTAATTGTAAAATCCTTATCCAGGATGAGGTTTGGGCAAACAATTTGTAGGGCTGTAATTACATTGTAAAAGTGTTTCGGGCTCCGGCTTGCGCTGAATTAAGCTCCTAAAGGCCCGATGAGGACGCTGAAAAAGGGGTTTTCAGGGGTTTTTTCCCCCCTAATTTCCTTTTTTTTTTTTTTTTCGGGGAGGAGGGGGAAGCATCCCTGGGAGTTGAGTCGAAGCAACACCCTGCAAGGGACCGCTACGGTGGGGAATCATTCCCGAGCGCCGTTCCCGGGGGAAATCAACAGGGAGGTGAACCCCACGCGCGTCGCTCGGGTGGGTGGGTGGGGGTCAGTGTATGAAAACGGCTCTTACCTGAGAGATCTGTATTTCCCTCGCCGGGATAACAGGCCGATTCCTAGCGGAAAGGGGGCGGGGAGGAGGGAGGGAGTGGTGGAGATCATCGAAACGGGTTTCCCCGAAGTTTGAGACGTAGCGGCCCCGGGGGCTCCGGCAGCAGCGGAGCAGCGTCCCCGGGGGGTTTAGCGGGGGGACACCCCCGCCACTGCCCCGTATCCCCCCGAGGACCCGCAGTAGGGGGTTGTTCTCCGTCTCGCCGGGCGGGAGATGCGGTAGTGCCCAGGGGGGCAGCTCTCCGCAGGTACGGGAGGAAGGGGCACGGCGAGTTCCCCGCACCCGCCCCGGCGGAGGAGCTGCGGGAAAGGCGGAGACCGCCGTGCTTTGGGGACGCGAGGCAGCGGGACCCCCGCCTCGGCGCGGGGGGGAGAAGGGCAGGACAACACGGCGGCGGAGCCCGATGGAGGGGACAGGGCTGGAAATAGGGCTGGGAATGGGGCTGGATAGGGACGGAGAGGGAGCCGGGGGTGTGTGAGGGGGGATCGCTTCCCCTCACCCCACCCGTACCCCCAGCGCGCGCCGGTCCCGAGCCCCGCTCCCCGCGCGGACCAATGGGGGCGCGGCGCGGGGCGGCGCGGCGCTGATTGGCCGTTGGCGGCGCGGCGGCGGCGGCCGGGGGCCAGGTGAGCTCACTCGGCCGGCGGCCGCGGGGAGCCGCCGTGTGGGGGGCGGGCGTTGAGGGGGGTACGGCCGGCGGAGAAGCGCGGGGCGGGCGGCGCTGGGGGCGCTGCGCGGGGCGCGGAGCGGCGGCGCCGCCAGACAAAAGGGCGGCGGGAGCGCCCCCACGGTGGCGGCGGCGGGCGGGCGCACCGCGCTGTGTGTGCTCGCCACGGGGTGTGCGAGGGCAGGGCCGGGAGGGGGCGGTGTGCGCGTGTGTGCGAGCGAGGAGAGGCGCGGGGGCCGCGCGGCGCGCCCCGCGCCGGTGGCGGAGTTGCTGCCGCCCAGCGCATTGTGTAAGACGCGACCTGTTATGGCCACCACTACTTCCGGGTTCCCGCAGTCTGCTCCAGCCCGGCGCGGCTGCTGCGCTCGGGCGGAGCGGCGGCGGAGGGACGGACGGACGGACGGACGCGCGGAGGGACGGACGGACGGCAGCGCTCGGGCAGCGGCGGCGGCGGCGGCGGCAGCGCCTCCTCCTCCTCCTCCCCCGCCTCCCTCCCTCCCTCCCCCCATCCCGCCCCGCTGCCCTTCCTCCCGCGCCCGCCCCGCACGGCACCCGCGCCCGGCCCGCCTCCACCAGCCTCGCCCGCCGGCCGCGCAGGGGCAGAGCGAGCCGGCGCCGGCGAGGAATTAGGAGCGATTCCGCGAGGAGGAGCGGAGAGAGAGAGAGAGAGAGGCAGAGACAGAGGCAGAGAGAGAGAGAGGAAAAAAAAAAAAAAAGCAGCCCCCCCACTACCACCATCATCATCATCATCATCATAATAACCATAATAAAAGGAGAGCCGGCGCGTTTAGCGAGCCTTTTTAATTTTTAATTTTCTCCCCCTCCTCTTCCTCCTTCTCCTCCTCCCTCGATTTTTAAATTTTTCCTTTTTTTTTGTATAAATTTTTCTTTTTTTTTCTTTTTTTTTCTTTTTTTTTTTTTTTTGGGTGAGCGCACTCGAAAATTAACATTCGCGGTGTCCTGCGCGGTGGGAGCACACGCAGCGGATCATCATCAGTCATTCACCACCTTGACAACCTCGCCTGTGATTGACAGCCGGAGTGGCAAAAAGCCATGAGACTTGGTAGTTGGGTTTGAGGGGCACTTTAAAAAAAAAAAAAAAAAAAAAAAGATAGAGAGAGAGAGGAAAAAAAACTGATTTGGGGAAAGGATATTTGCTTTCGCCCCGCTGCTGTCTTGGAAACGAGAGGGGGAGAGTAAGAGAGAGAGAGACAGGGAGAGAGGGAAGAAAGAAAGAAAAAAGAAGGAAGGAAGGAGGGAGAGTTGAATTTTTTTTTTCCTCCTAATTTTTTTTTCCTCCTTTTTTAATGCTGAGTTACCGTATCGCTTCGCTGAGATCCAGCAAGCCGAAGATTTTACTCGATTGCTTCCATTGCTGGCGACGCTAAGGGATTTTTGCCTTTTTTTGGGGGGTGAGGGGGGGGGAACTTCGCGTTTCTTTCTTTTCACACTGGCCTTAAAGAGGATATATTAGAAGTTGAAGTAGGAAGGGAGCAAGCAGGCCGATGGCGCAAAGGGTACGTATGATTAAAAAAAAATGGATTTCAAATGTGAAATAATATTGAAACGTGGCTGACAGAGACGCTGCGAAAAAAGTTTCTTTTCTTTTTTTTTTTTTTTTTTTTTTTTCCTCCTTTTTGGAACAGGGGCACAAAGCGGTGTCCTGCAGCGGGAGGATTTATCAGTTGTACTTGTAGGCTTAAAACCTGCGTATATTGCTATTTTCTTGATTCTTTTACTCCCCATCCCGGAGCTCTCAGGGAAGAGGCAAAGCTTTCTATACATTAATGACATGCAGGCATGTAAGTGAATATGTCCGAGCCTCTGTATTTGTTGGTTTTGTAGCTCTAGTTCTACCAATGTCTTTTTTAAAGTCACCAGTGCTTGAAATATTTGAATGTGTGCATGTCTCTGAGCATTTTGCTGTGTTAGTGATGATATAGCGCTTCACTTTAGGAAGATAAGTTCTGGCTGGGAGTAAGCACAACTTTTTTTTTTTTTCTTTTACCTCCTTTTTTTTTTTTTTCTCCCCCCCTTTTTTTTTAATATATATTCTGTCACAAAAGGTGCAGTGTAATGGGCAACCACCCCCCACTCTTCTAAAAAGAAATTACTTTAATTTGAATTGAAGGTTAGCAGCATTCACTGCCATGTGTATTGTTGTTTCTATTTTGGGTACGATCTCTTTTTTTTTTTCTTTTTTTTTTTTTTCCCTTCCAACTACCTCCTGAATTGAAGTTTTGAGAAAAAAATTAATCAGCCGGAGTCGGGTGAACAGGGATTTGGGAAAGGAGAAAAGTCCTGGAAAGAAGTTTTCTTGCCTAATTTGCCTGCCGCCGTCCGAGAGCTGGTTGGGAAAGAAAGTTCCTCTGCTGACAACTTGCCTTTTACTCTTTCGGTCCAAGCAAGTGTCAGGGATCTTTAAAAGTGTTTATTCACACCTTCGCTTTTAATAGATGAAAAGTGGCCGTTTCCCCCGCTGCCTGGGAACCGCGGTAGCTTTTGCTCCTTAATCTTTAACAAAGAAAACCCTTAAAAAAAAAAAAAAAAAAAAGAAGGAAGGCATTCCCAAAATCCCGAGAGCCCGGGCGAACGTTTCCAGCTTTTCGGCTTTAAAAGTTGCATTCTCGTGGAATTGCTGGGAAGTCCGCAAATCGCTCGTTCTGGGTCTTTTCTCTTTTTTTTTTTTTTTTTTTTTTTTTTTTTTTTTTTTTTGTGTGTGTGTGTGTGTGTGCCGCTGCTGAAGTTTTTTGCATCCTCGCTGGGTGTGAGGTACCTGACTTCTTATCAGCAGGGAAAAAAAAAAAAAAAAAAAGTTTAGCGGAGGGAAGATTTTGGAACTCCGGGAAACCGCTTCCATTCGCAGGAGGGGGGGTGGTTTGGGAGATTGGGGGGATGGGGATTGGTGCGGAGTGTGTATGTTGGGGGGGGGGGTTTCCAGTTTTATTTATTTTATTGTTGTTACGATGATTATTATTTCTCCTGCGCCCCAGACTCGGAGGGTTTCGGGCCGGAGCGGCCCGGCCCGGGGCGGTGTTTCCCTCCCCAGGGCCGGCGCGGCGGATCCCGAGCGAGCTCCAGGGGGGATCGCGGCGCGTCCCCGGGTGGTGGTGGTGGTGGTGGTGGTGATGGTGGTGGGAAGGGAGGGGGCACACAGCGCAGCGAAGCTGCTGCCTGGGGGCACTGCCCCGCTCCCCACACCCCTGACGCCTCTCTGCTCTCTGTCTCTCTCTCCTCTCCCTCTGTGCCCCGCAGTACGACGAGCTGCCCCACTACGGCGGCATGGAGGGGGTGGGCATCCCCACCACCATGTACGGGGACCCCCACGGCGCCCGCCCCATGCAGCCCGTGCACCACCTCAACCACGGGCCGCCGCTCCACTCGCACCAGTACCCGCACGCCGCCCACGCCAACGCCATGCCCCCCGCCATGGGCGCCTCCGTCAACGACGCCCTCAAGAGAGATAAAGATGCCATCTACGGGTAGGTTGGGCCGCGCCGGGCTCCGCGCAACCTGCGCGGGATGCAGCGCGGGGGTGGCGGGGGTGGGGAGAGGGAGGGAGGGAGGGATGGGCAGCGCTGCGCGGTGAAGGGCCGCGTTCTTAATTTTGTGTCGTTGTTTTTGCTGTCGGCTTTGAAGGGTGGGGAGAGAGGGTTGTTGGGGGGGGGGGGGTTCCCCCCCTGGTACGGGGAGCCCGGGAAAGTAGGGGGGCGGCGGGCATCGCCGCGGGGAGGAGGAGGAGGAGGAAAATAATATTCCCAAGGCACAACCTGCGCCGGGTTGGTCAGTCTCTGCACGGAGTTTTTGGGAGCAAGGGAGAGTTTGGAGTGCTTTGCCCAACTTTTCCACCTTGTTCGTCTTTCCTTGCACTGTGAAGGAAAGAACTCGAGAGCAATTTCTCCCAGTTGTGGTTTTTTTTTTTTTTTTTAATTTTTCTTTTAATTTTTATTTCTTTTAAACTCTTTACCCGACAGCATTGAATCTTTCTCAGTGTGGCAACTTGTAAAGCGGTTTCTAGGCCGTTGCGATAGGAGCTGATGGGGTTACATTGGGCGCAGATGCTTTTAAAATGTATCTGCCCAGCTGGAGTTTGAAGGGAAGTTTAAGAGCCTCTAAAAATCTCTCTCAGGACAGTGAGGAGTAGGGGGAGGAAAATAAAATTCATGGCGTTCGGTTTCTCTATTGGATTATCAGAAATCTGAAGGGTTGGCTAAAACTCGGCAGTGAACGGTACCCAAAAAAAAAAAAAAAAAAAAAAAATGAAGCCCTGGGAGGAAAAAAAAAAAAGAACTCCCTGTTATAAATATACATATATGTGTGTGTGCGCCCACGCTTATTTATTTATTTAAATTATTAAACGGGCGAGGGAACCAGATGCACACGCTGCCTTTCTCCCGGGAAGGCTTTCCAAGCTGGGGTTGCCCAGGAGCACCTGGTTCCCCCCGCGGGTCGGCGGCTGCGGAGCCCCGGGGGGGCGGAGGGCCGGGCAGGCAGTGGAGAGGCAGCCGGGCTGGCCAGCGCCTGCCAGCGGGTCGTAGGTGTGTTGAGTGGGTTTAGAGGCTTTTTCTTATTATTTTTTTTTTCAATTTAGATGGGGCTTGTTTCTGGTTTTCTGTTGGTTTGTTGGTTGTGTTTTTTTTTTTCCCTTTACCTTTTTGCTCCCAGCAAGTCCTCCAGCAGAAAACGGGGATTAAAAAGCATGAAAGGCAAGCAAAGTGTGTGTCCAGGGGATTTTAATTTTTTAATTTTTTTTTCCCCCCCCCTAAAGACAAGGAAAGTTTATTCAAAATGGCTGCTGGAACCGGCTTGGGTTTTATTCTTGGCTTGTCCTAAGGTTGTATTAACAATATCTGCGGCCAGACAGCGCCGAAAGGCCGGGGAGATGCCGGGCTGCCGACCGGCCGGCTGCGGGAAGGGGCCGGGACGCTGCGGGAGGCGGCGGGGGGTGCCGGAGCCCCCTCTGTGGGTGCCCCCCTCCCCACTCACGCTGCTGCGGGACTAACTATTGTTGTGTTTGGCTTTTTTTTTTTTTTTGTTTCGTTATGATATTTTTCCCCCCTCTGTGTGTGTGACTATTGTATTTTCTTTCAGACACCCCCTGTTCCCTCTTTTAGCACTGATTTTTGAGAAATGTGAATTAGCTACATGCACACCCAGGGAGCCCGGGGTAGCGGGAGGCGATGTTTGCTCCTCTGAGTCTTTCAATGAAGACATAGCAGTGTTCGCCAAACAGGTCAGCAAAACCGGGTTGAAACAGTAAAAGAAAAAAAAAAAAAGGAAAAAGAAGGGAAAAAATTTCCGTAACGAGAAAAACAAGTCTCTGTTGAGATAAAGATGCGCGTTTCCCCCTCCCCCCTCTCTTTCTGCAAGAAAAAAAAAACCCAAAACAAAACCCACTCCAAAACCCCAACCAAAGCAAATCATGCAAAAAAACCTAATCGGGAAATCTCGGCATTTACCAGCCCCTTAAAATACTGGGTAATGCGGAGCGGTCGGTGCCCGGCCGGGAGTTTCGCTGCGCGGCTCCCGGGAGCCGGGACGGGCTCTGCCGGGGAAGCTCCGTAGGTATTTTTCGGTATATTTGATTCACTTGCTCAAGTGTTTGGCTGATGTACTAAATCCAGCAGTCAGGGCTTTGCACGGAAGGTTACATAATGGACCCGACAGTGTAATGAAGCAAGAAATAATAACGTCTGCTTTTTCTGCTTCCATATTTCAAATCTTTTTTATTATTATTTTTTCCCCCCTCTCCTCTCCTTTCTTGTATTTAGATCCGAGCAGAGAAACCCCTCTTTTCCTCTAATCCTGAACTGGATAACTTGGTAAGAGTTAACACTTCTTCCTCTCCCCACCCCCACCCTCCCTTCCCATTTATTTATTATTTTTTTTTAAACTTCTGTGTCATCTGGAGAGGTGGTTTGGTGGTGCTAAATTGAAAATTTCTCACGTGGAATTTTTAGAATTACTGTTATTATGATGATGATTTTTACATTTACAAGTAAATATGGTGTGATAGTTGCCTTGAAGTAAAAAATCCCATAAGGATATACATAAAGGAAAGCCCCATCCAAAGGGGAGCTGACGGGCTTGATGGTGAGCTTGCCTGCCCAAGAGGAGTGTGGATTTATCCCTGCTGTAGCCACCCCCTCCACGCACCTTTTAGCAGCTCCATGGGAAGGGAAACATAGAGGATTGCTATGGCTGGACATGCACCGGTGGCAAATTCACCAAAAATGAGATCTTTTCTCTCTTTCTTTCCTCCCCTCCTTAAGGATAAATATTTTGCCTCCACTGTAGGAGTCCTGCTCCCACTTTCGCAAAGCGAGGAGCCAGTGATGGTGTTTAGAGAGTTGGGTTTTTGTTTTTTTTTTTTTTTTAAGAAATGTTTATGATCCGTATAATTCAGTTGCTTCATTGCAATAGGGATTTTTTTTTTTTTTGTTAACTCTAGATCGCTTCTCGTTAAACAGCACACAAAGCCACCGCTATTAAGTTTTAGTGTTATTGCCATAAATCAAAACAACTTTTTATTTACTACTAGAGAAAAGTCAAGCTACAAAGTGTGGCTGGGGCGGCTGTGGGAAATATCCCCAAATCCAGGAATGAGATTAATACTCGTGTTGTTTGTATCTTTGCAGATGATTCAAGCCATACAAGTATTAAGGTTTCATCTGTTGGAATTAGAGAAGGTAATTTTTGTCTCTCTTTCTCTCTCTCTCTTTCCCCCCCTTTATTCCTCCTTCGTTTCAGTACTGCTGAAGTTCAGGCTTCTGGTAAATTTGCATAAATGTCTTTCTTTCTGGTAATTAGTGTCAAGACCAATCTTGGCGTCCATTTCTCTTCGCAGTTTAATTACAATTTCAGCCTCTAAAACTGAGCTCTCGAACGCCCAGGCCTTGTGTTCATTGTAATACTTTGCTGGCTTTGTATAAATAGTTGCAGTTCTGTGGTGCCGCAGACGAGACTCGAAATGGTTAGTTCAGTCAAGCCCCTGAAATTGTGATTTAAAATATATATATATCTATCTTGTTTTTTCTTGGTGAGGGTGAGGAAGAGGCTTCGGTTGCAGTTAGTTGGAATGGGGAATTTTTTTTTTTTTTTTTTTTTTTAAGAGCCATCTGCAGGTCAGGCTCAGGGCGCGGATTGTCCTGTAACATTTTGCAGAGACAAAGCAGAGTTGATAGTTCTGTCTGTCTCTTGTTCCTGGGAATATTGTACACCTCCAAGCAGAAGAAAGAGATTGCAGACTAAATGCAGGATTTTTTTTTTTTTTGTTGGCTGTTTTAGAAATCTTAGGAGGGAGAATGCTAATTTCTAAGAAGGCGGTGTTATCCGAGCTCACATTAAATTGGAAGTGTGCTCTTGGTTTCCTGAGGATTTTTTACGTGTCATTGATAGCTGGCCTACAAGAGAATTCCCTTTCTCCTAAAAATAAACATTTTGAGAGGTTTTTAAATAGTTGAAAAGTTTCTCAGGAGCCTCAGTCACTTTATCTAACCATAACTGGCAGGTTGTTCTCGCTCTACCGAAATGTGTTAAAATCTGCCCATTAATAAAGGTGGCTCAGGTACGAGTCTATCAGAGCGACTGGGGATTTCAGGGCTCGGATGCCTCTAATGTATTTCAGCCCAGTGCATCAGGATTTTTTTTTTAAATCCTTTTTTCTGTCCTCATACCCCTTTGGAAAGGGTTTATGATGAAATAACTGGATGAAATTAAATAGTTTACCTTAAATGTCACCCATGCAGGTCACCTCTCTAATGGCCACAGCTCCGGGAGCAGATGAATTTAACACGGGTGTTGAATATGTTGTAGCCTGTGAATCATCTTGTCACTGTCAATTTTCTGGGATATCTCTATTTTGCGAGAAAAGAAAGTTATTCCTAATTCTGGATGCGTCTAGAGGTCTCAGGGGGATAATTGCAGTGTGTTTCCCCTATTTAGGACTTTTGATGTCACAGGGGTGAAGGGGGGAGACTGGTTGCACTTGTCAATTTTACTTATGTATTCCTGATTATATTTTCTTGCTTTCCCCCCCACCCCGCCCCTTCTGTTTTCTTTTCCCCTTTTTTTTTTTTTTTTAACCTCTGTCATAATGTAGGTACACGAATTATGTGACAATTTCTGCCACCGGTATATTAGCTGTTTGAAAGGAAAAATGCCTATCGATTTGGTCATAGACGATAGAGAGGGCGGATCAAAATCGGACAGTGAAGACATAACAAGATCAGCAAACCTAACGGATCAGGTATGATCTCGCCAACGCCGCACACGCTAAAATTTGTATGCAGATCGCTCGCTGGGTCACTACGCCTCCTTTTATTATTTGCATATGATTAAGTCCCTTTTAGATAAATTTCCATCGAAATGAAAATTTTTGAATAATGTGGCTATTATTGCTTCATTAAGGCTTGCTCCCGGATTCGACCTGGCGAGATGAGCTTGTAAAAGCGTCGCCTGCAAACTCGACCTGTTTCTTGTCGCTTTTAATTTTTGTCTTTATTTTATTTACCCTTTCCGATAATAGAAGTGGTGTCTGTGGATCGCTGGCTTCTTGGTAGCTTAGGGAAGGAAGGGCTGGAGTCGTTGACCAAAATAGTAATAAAATCCGAGATAGGTGGTCCGGGAAAGACAGAGAGGGTTTGAAATCTAGCAAATACTGGCTATTTTCTTCCCGTCTCTACGGTTCATTAGTCCGTCTTGTCAGTTTTCCTTGGCCGAACGCTTTTAGACTTGAGTGAACATTGCTTTGTGCACGCCTGCCTGCTGCAAACGCGCCCATTTTATTTTACTTAATAGGGGGGAAAAAAAAAAGGGAGAAAATAAAATGGGATTCAGGTTTAAATTCTTTTCCCTTGATCTTTCAAGTTTTCAAGCCCTCTCTTTAAAAAATAAATATAGTCAAAGCCAAAGCCAAGCCAGCAAAGCCTCGCGTGGCTGTGGCGGTGTCCAGGTTTTGTTTGGGATGGTTCAGACCTTTAATGCCGGCTGCAGCCGGGTGAGAAATGCGGGTGAGCTGAGTGAGGAGAGCTGGCTGTCCCCTCTCCCCTCCCTCCTCCTCGCCTGTCCCTTCCGCCGGCTGGGATCCTTGCCTTTTCATGGGAGCGTTTGGGGCTAATGCAGGAGGTGCCCAGATCTAAATTAAGCTCCTGGATGATGGAAGTGACTGAGATTTGGCTTTTATTCGAGTTGGGTGAAACGGCGGGGTTTTCGCGGTCAGTTTGTTTTCTCTGAACTGAGGGGTAGCAGCGCTTTGCCTGTGAGAGAGGGGACCTCGAGCACACACAGAAAAATAAATCCCCGCTTAAAACCCCCAGGTTATTTCTTCTTTATGATCAGCTACGCAAATAGAGTCTTAGGAGTGATCTGCTCCTGACTCTGGAGGTTTCCTTTTGTTCAAGCAAGGCGCAGCCAAGCAGACAGGAGTTGCCTCAGCCGCTTTGCCGTTATCACCGGCACTGTCAGCTGGGAGTTATTTTATAGATCCCCGACATGAAGGTGCGTTGCATCGCAGCGTGGGCAGCATCTGAAATGTTTTCTCCCGTCTGCCAAAGGCTATCGGGTAGTGTCGTGACAGGGGGAGGCAGGCGTGGAGGAAGGCATGAACTTTTGAAGAGGGGTTTATGTGCGCCTAGGTGGGTTGTTTTGGTGTTTTGTTTTTCCCTTTCCGTCCCGTTTTGCAGCGAAGGGGGAAAGCTTGGTGGGGCGGGAGGAGGGCGGCACAGCAGGGCGGTACCCGGGGCCGGGGAGGATGCTCCAGGCGGCCGGCAGCCCCGTGCAGTGCCTTAGTGCAAGGGGAACCCTCCAGCCAGGGTCTAGCTGAGGGAAGCTCGGCTCGCTGCTGTTGAATAAAAATTGTAATCCAACAAGTCTAACTAGAAAATGGGTTTCTAAAAGCTCTGGAGTGCTGGGTACATAAAGCTATTTGAGCAAATTACAAGAATCGCTCAGGGGCACGAATGAAATCAACACTTTAATTGCCTCCAAAATGAAGATTTATACCCCATTTTCCCAACGAATCATTATTTTGTTAAAGTGAAAGCTAAAGAAATGAAGCTATAGTTTTGGGGTTGTCGGGGGGTGTCGGTGTGTTTCTCCACACATCCCCTCGCCTCTCCCCACTCTGCCACCACCTCTTGGTCCGCGGACCTTTGCACTCCCGGGGCCGTCCCCTCTCCCGCTGTGCGGGCTCAGCCCCGGCACCCTCGGTTTGTGCGAGCGCAGCCCCCGCCGCTCCGCGGGGTGCTCCGGCTCCTCGCCGGGCAGCGCGGGACGCGCAGCTCCGCGGCTGCGGACGGGGTGGGGAGCGGGGCTTTGCTTTCCCCGCCGAAGGGAAAAGATGCAAAAATGCGCTTTCCCACCCCCCCACGCCCTCCCCTCTCCCGGCCGATGAGGCGGCGGATCAAACCCGCGGGGGTTGCGCGGGGTTGGGGGTGGAGGTTTACCGAGGGGGGGGATGCTCAGCCGCCCGCGCCCTCCGGTAAACTCCGGTGCCAAGCCCGGCCCCGGCGCGGCCGGCAGTATCTGGGCCCTAATGGTTCAATAATAAGGTGTTGAGTGCTGGTCGCCGGGGCGGCTAATTAGGATGTGGCTGCGCAGGGCGCGTTTATGGCTGCGCGGCCCTGGGATGCGCGGGCGCGCAGGGCCGGGGCGGTGGGAACGAGGGGCCCCCCGCCTGCCCACGGCTCTGCTTGGGAGAGTAGTAAAAGAGTAAGTATGTAAAAAAGCTTTTATTATGGATTTAATTACATTTTCGTATATTGTGGTAGTAAAGGTTACAGTTAACAGGGTGGGTTTTTTTTGCTTTTAATTTATTGGTTTCCCCTTATTTATTCTTTCCTTATAGGCCCCTCAATGCCATTGCCTCTAAGTCCCCCCCGGTTAATGGAAAGCAATGACACTAATGCTAGATTTTGCAAAGTAAAGCCCTATAACACTAACCATTGTTCAGTGATTTAACCAGCTCAGTGGCACTAGGTCACTAAAATAGCATCCTTCTCCCACGGGTTCGACCCCGCTGCCTGCCAGGGTGGGACCTGCGGAGTTGGTGTTTACCATCACGGCTCCACAAGTACGAGGCAGGAGTTTGGGCTTTTTTTGCTGGGGATAATTGAACTCGAGATCAACCAGACCCCGGGACTTTTAAAAACCGTAGCTGAAGAATTGCAGCCATCCTCAAAAGTTTCAAAATAAACCTTTTTTAATCATTAGCTTTTCAAACATTTGCGTGTTTAAATTTTCAAATGTTTGTTGGAGCTCAGATGGACTTAGAACACAGCTGTTGTGTGATGTGTCTGGGAAAACTCCCTCTGATTAAAAAAAAAAAAAAAAGCTCCGAGACTGTCTGTAGTCTGACAGCAAAAGTTCAGTTTCTTAGGTAATCCTAAACTGTCACCGTGGGTCTGTTTTCTTGAAGCCACATCACCCTGGCACCCAGGTGCTCTAGTCTGAACTGTAAAATTCCCCTACAAGATCGTGTCTACCAAAAGCCTTTAGAAAGTCCTTTTAGGAAAACATGGTTCAAAATACCCACCAAATCCAAATAAAGTACAGTAGCAGCATAAGATAGATTTTATAGGGGGAAAAAACAGTGGTTTTCTTATGGAAAATAAACTTGTTGAGCACATCCATGGAAGCATTATTTGACAAAAATTACAATTTACAATTTAATAATTTAATAAGCAAAATTACAGATGCAGAAACTTTTAAAGGCAAATCGGCAAAGAGCCAAATTCCTATAGGGACTAGGAGGGAAATGATCAAAAAATGAACATGAAATAAGACTTCCTGCAGGAAGGTCCATAATTCAACATTATTTGACTCCACTGTCAGGGAAATTGTTGAAGGATAGTAAACTGATACTAGAGTCTCAGTCATTTTTGTTACAGTCTTAAATGTTTGCAACTGTGGTGTTTTAGATGGCCCTTCTTGGGTGATAATATATCACATATATATATGTATATAATAAAGCAACACCTCTATTTATGTTGCAGTAGGTTTTATTTTAATGCACACTGTTGCAGAGTTGCTCTAACCAAAATGCAGATCGACAGCAGCTTTTTTTTCTTTCTTTTTTTTAATGGAAAAATTACTTAAAATATATTCTTTACGAAGAAAGAATCATAAACTGGAATCCAGTACACAGCGTAGCTAAAGGTGGTAGAGTTGTTCAGAGCATTGACCAGTTACGACTAGACTTAACTCTCCCAAATTCTCAAATGTATCAGCTATACCTTGTAGCCAATACAAAATAATGCCTTGGGGGGAAAATTACTGACAAATACTGTTTTACTTGGGGTCTTCTTCACAGATGCTTTCAAACCATGTAGTTTTAAGGAGGAGAATAAGAATATTACTGCCTTCAGGATATGTACTCCCATATCAGAGGAACAGGCATCAAAATAATAGATACCATGCAGAGGGTGCCAGGTAGAACTCATTTCTGCATAATAAAAGAGTTACAGTGAAGTAAGACTCTGAGGAGGGCTAATAAAGTAATGTTTAAAAGACTCAAAAATTTAATTTTCTTCCTCTGACTTTATGTCACCTTGAACCAGTGAATCCTTTTTTTGTTTGTTTGTTTTTGAGTAACTTTTATTTATTTATTTTTGTTGTGATATTTAGAATGTGTTACCATGCTCCAGTTTGACAGACTATTCATTGTGAAGATAGAACATGTTAATTTCTATTCTGGGCATGTTATCATCCGATACACTGTGGCTGAAATTGAGCAAAATGAGCTTGTCTTTGCCCTCCATTTCTTTAAGCTAGTAAATACATTGTTAAATTGATATTAGATTGAATATATTTTCTTTAACTTATGATTTCAATTCGAGATCTTTGGCTTTTTGTGGTTTTTTTGATTTTTTTAAATCACTGAAGAGCCCAAAAGCAGCAATCCTTACAGCTGGGTGTAAGATTTACTGCCTTCCTTAAGTTGCGTGCTCAGGCCTAACTTCCATGTAAAGTTTTCCAAGCTGAAGTTATTTACGTTTTCTTGCAGAGAATAGTTTAATTGTCAGGTTTTTTGGGAATTCTTTTCAGCATCAAACCTGACAGACCTGAGTTTAAATCCCAGGTAACCTCAGAATTCATCCTAAACATTTGCGAGCGTATTCCAAGGCGTTCCCGTAAGCTGGAGCTTGCCGCGTCTGTGCGTTAGCGACCGCAGATTGTTATTTTGGGGCAACTTGGAGATTTGCAAGTTGTGAGAAAATGAGTTGTACCTTAAGTTTAACCTTTATGGCT